TAGAAATGACAGTAGGAGATGGCTTCATTAATGTATAGGAAAGATTACAACAGTATAAATTTGTTACAATGGTAAACTGAAACTAAAGACATTCTCAAGTAAGGATAAAATTAATTCACGGTAGTATCAGCAGAATATTTTAAGACCAATTTTTGGAAAGAAATTTTAGCCTTATATGGAAAGGATATCACTAAATTTGACAGTCGTATGGACAAACGTCTAGTCACACGTCTTCAAATGACATTTATGTAGCAAAGAAAAATTCAGAAACGGGAAAAAAATAATGAAATACCTGCAAAACCCTCGGAAGCTTCTATAGGGACTTTTGCGCTCTCGATTTGCTAGTCTTGTTTGTTCGAGTCTTAGAAAACGTCACCCAAGAACACGGCTCAAACTGAAATAATGATGTAAAGAAAACTTTACTTTAATGGAAGATTCGAGCTACAGCTTTAATAAGAGACAAACAGCCAGAACAGACAGAAACAAATTGCCACAAAAAATACGACCTTTATGCGCAAAAATTAGTTATAAAAATCATTTCCATAAAGTGCGAACGATATGGGGCGAATCGGACGAACCTATAATTCTTCTGTTTGCCTGATTTATTTATTTTTTGACATCAAAAGAATTACTCATATCTTAAAAGCTAATAACATAAATAGATGTAGATTGGTTATTAGTTTCAATTTTGAATATACTAAATTTTCTATTCTTTAGCTATTAAATGAAATTCCTAACCTTCTTTTGTCTATCATTTCTGCTTATTTATCTCTGTAAAATAACGAAAGTAAATAGGTTGGTAAGATTTACATTCCTTTCCATATGTTTCATCTTTTATTCTTCCCGAATGATTAATGATTATTCAAGAAACCATTATCTGGTGAAATAAACTTTTCATAGCTGTCAAAATGTTTCCTCTAAGAATAAAGTTTCAAATATTAAGCAATTATTCGTCTCGTTTAGTTTCTTATTAAAGTTTCGTGGTATCTTACCTTTTCTTTTCATGATCACTTAGTTTCAGACTTGCTTTCTTTTCTTTCTTCTTTCAGAAAGTAGTTCTGCGTAACACTTGTGATTTCTTTCCATTTTTGAAATTCGCAAATGTATATTTTCTATTTTTGCTATGGAAGGAGAGATATCAATTAACTTTGAAAATGATTTAAAATTCCTTCTTCTGTATAATTTGAAGTGATTTGTACGGCAAATGTTATAATTCATTAACGGTACAAATATGCGTTCTGTTTATGGAAGCCCGAAATATAAATTAAGAGAAGGATAGCCAAATTAAGTGTATATGCAATTCTTGATCACAAGAATTTAATTCTTTTCTGTGCTATTTGTTATTTTATCAAGAAAAATGGGACTAGAAAAAAAGAAAGGAAAAAAGATATCATTTGTTTTCAGAACTTATAGAATCGTATAGAGCTTATGAAAACTTTTAGAGCTAAAATTACTATTTATGGGAGTGACACAGTGTAAAGAAAGTGTAATATCAAGTTGTAAAACAAGCGTGAAAATTGTAGACTACCTTTAACACAGTAGTGTGAAGTAATTTTATAGAATGAATAGTCTGCGAAGACAATTCCATTATGCGTTGACTGCAAATATTATGTTGCAAAGATTTCCAGATTTTAGTTATTTGAAGTGCAATTTTATATTATTTTAATTTCCATTAAAACGAACATGAATAACATACCAGGAAATCTATAAATGGAGCTAATTAATTTACAATGTGGTGTAAATCTTATTCAGAGATCTGAAGATACAGATTTTATTACTTTTATTCGTACTTGTCAAAACGTAAATAAGCTTAATTAAGAATGTTTGCGATAAAAACAATCGTTTTGTTTGACAATACATTTGTATAACAGCAGAATTTTTCAGATTTGAAAATTAATCAGAAAAGAATCTGATCGACCGATGAACATCTAAAATCCGTGACGGAGATCATTTCTAGTAATTTCTCTCCATGTTAATTTTCAACTCTGAAAATTAACGCCATACATTGCCACTCTGCAATATGAAACAAAAACGTTTATATTTATTTGCATACAAACATATGCATTTTTGTTTATGCTTTAAAAAATTTAATAAAAAAGGGACTAGTTTGTCAGTAAGCATTCTCAAATTTTGTCTCACTTCGTGAATTTTCTCTTAACACTTAGAAGGTTTTCATTATTTATTTATTTCTAGTTTAAATTAAAGTAATCGTTTAATTATTACTTAAAATGTTAATATTATTTGAAAGAAATGTCTGTCTGAGAATTTAATATTTAGCTCTTATTACATTTGAATTACAAAATGTCTTATAGGTACCAGACTTTAGATTTCAGATAGAAAATAAATAAAATTTAAAATCTTATACTTTGCGATGTTATTATTATTAATTTTCATGCATGTTTTAATAAATATCTAGTAAGCAAAATTTTAAAATTTATTTAAAGTATTTTTAATTTTGTTGATAAAAAAAAAGAAAAAAAAGCTGAAAAACTATCCTATCAGCTGCTTTCGGATCGTGCATTTGGATGCAGTTTGAAACCACTTACTTTAAGGTAAAAGTTCTCTACCTTTTTAAGAGTTTCTTCCCGTATTTCAGTGTTTTATAATTTTCTTTCGGTTTTCTTATATTTAAAACATCGTCTCAAACTCCTCACCTATTTTATGCTAAATTTTCTGTTCTCGTATCTTTAAATTCAAAATTTCGTTCAGTGTTGTTATTCTGCGTTACTTTTAAATGCTTTCGTTATTTGCAATGTTTAACAGTACCTTTCGCTTACTTTTCTTATTTTATGGTTTTCTCAGTTAATTAATGCACATTAAATATAAATGAAACTACTAATGCTGCATTAATGCCAGTTCTGAGCGTCAAGGAAGGTTCAAGTTTTTTATTTTCTCTGTGCTGAATTTTAGTATCATACGTTAAACTTACGAGACTAACATATAAGTTTTGAATACTTTAAACATTATATTTTTAACATTCAGTTTCACAACTTAGCGCTTGAAAAAAATATCTAATTATAATTATTTCTAGCTTGTTTCACTATTTAATTTAGCTGGTGTGTCAATTCATTTTCAGAATATTTAGTTTTCCATTTAAAGGCTAAGAACGACCTGAGTGTCATGGAAGTTGCTTGCGTTCAAGGTTTGACACATATAAAAACAGAAAGCTTATGTTGACAGATCTAATTAAACTTGAACAGGGAGAATTTTTCTTTTCGAATCCAAAATTAACACCTGTCAAATGCGAAAATGAGTGTTTTATTTGCATTACAGATCAAAATATATATTAAAGTTAGATTTCAAGAATTTTTTCTTTGCGAAAGGTGTACGAGCAAACAGAGGAAAAATGAATGGTTAATTATTCATTATTTTCAGAAAGTTTCTCAAGCTAATACTTTTCATCTAGAACAAATAACGACAAAATGTAAAACTTACCTTAAACGTTATTATTAAAATTTAGGAGAATTATAAAAAGCGTGAAATTAATGATTATTGGAGCTACATTTAAATCACAGGATTTTTAAGGCACAGTTTAAATGTTAAATGTTGCATTAAGAAAACTGGATCATTGCTGAATTTGTTAAATACGATAAGTAATAATTTAGGTTTCAACTTTTCAAAAATTGATTAATTTCAATTAAATTGCTTAAGTATTCGGAATATTAGGTATTTAAAAACCACGGCGCATTTGTAATTTATGAACTTTTATCGTTAATAAAGATTTGGAGCTACGGATAGTTTTCATTCCAAAATACAACTGTTTGGAATAATTCCTCGTTCAAAGAGATAGCATGCAATATTGATATTAAATGTTAATTCTGAGATTGAGAAAATTGGTAATAAGTAACAGAAGAGAAAACCTGCTGCAAAAATCGGTCACCAGTTTTTAATTCTTGAGCTGGTCATATCATCAGTCAACGCATTATTGAATTCCAGTATCCGCCGACTGATGAAACGACGTTTAGAAATCGTTAGCCATTCATAGGTTCACTCTTGCTCTCAGGACTAATGAACGCCATCAATAGTTATCTATTCTGGTTTCACGTATGGAGGTTTTAACACTAGAACAGCCGAATTTCAGACTAACCGAAAACCGCCATTGGGGGTCAATTTGACCCTCATAAGAAATGTAAGTAGAAACACAGTAAATGATTGAAATGATGGTGAAATGACCACATAAAAGAGTTTTCAGAGGTTTTTATTTATTTTTGATACTTTAGAATTTTTTTCGTGCAATTAGTGCAAATTAGCACACAATATCTTTCAATGTAAGATTACAAAAACAAAAACAAAATCTTTGAAAAACAAACAAAAGATACAAATGCAAAAAGTGGAAAATAGAAGATATGCAAAAAAATTACAAAAAACATAAATTGGGAATAAACACGCAATGTTTTCCAAAGTTTGTTATACATTACCGCAGGTGATATAATATGAACGCTTGACAGTGACAGCAACACATTTACCACAAATTGGTTTCTGGCATCCCTCACAGCTGACAACAGTCTTGTTTTGTCCCTTGCAACTTTAAAATGCACATTTCTTTCCTTTAAGTGTCTGTATTTGAGCAATTAGGGGCATCTGTTGCGTAGTGCACCAACTCGTAGTTCTTCCATGAGTGCAAGAATAAATTCTCGACGGGAAATAGAGGTGCCCAAGGATTCTTTGAATATAATCCAAGCACTGAGTTCATCAATGTCAAGGACGTTGTAAAAAACATGTACAGGTCACCTGCGACTTCCATTACTTGTACTCTATTTCCTCAGCATCTGATCTGCGACATCAATGCCACATTTTTTACTGTTGTAGTAAGTGACAGTGTTCGGTTTTTTCTTTATGCTGTCGTCGACAAACACATTACTGTGCATCGTGCTCAGAATCACGACATTCTTTCTGCTCTTGCACCTATTATATTGTGAGTGTTTTGTCTCCATTTTTCAGTGCAAAAGATGAATATCGTGCCGAAGGAAGTGTCACGAGCAATAGGGGGTAATTCTCGCTTATTCAGAAGCATCGTCTCCACAATTGTGGTTTATTTTCGCAGAAAGTTCATCTGCAAGTTTCACAGGAAGTAAAAAAAAAATGTCAGTTGTGATATTGAGTCCGGAGTTTAGATGTGGTTGCAGTAATTTCAGAACTACACTTTGCCCAAGTTGTAAATTAGTTGGTCGTTCTTTATCCTTGCCCAGATAAGGATAACCATTCAAAACATACTTGGATTTTACATCAGTTGCTAGCCAGAATTTGACGCCAAACTTGTCCGGTTTATTCGCCATATACTGAATAAATCTACATCTTGATTTACAAGGCAACAATTGTTCATCAATGGTTATTTCTGGTCCAGGATTATAGCATAAATAACAGTTTTCCATTAGCTTGTACCAGGTTACAGAAGCGAGAGCAAATTTGTTAGTGGAGAGACGATCAGCTCTGGTGCTTCGGACATCGAATATGAGATACCGCATTATTTCACGGAACTGATTGCGTGACATTGTTTCTTTGAACACAGGTGGTCCTCAATTTTTGTTCCACAAATCATCTGCACAAAGTTTTGAATGGCCTAGTGCTCCTAGTGTCGTTTTTCTTATGAGGGTCAAAATGACCCCAGTTGGCTGTTTTAGGTATATCTGCGATTATTTTTTTAAATAATTAACGTAGAAATATGAAAAATTGGCATAGTATACTTGGAAACATTTTAGAAAAAGTAAAAAAATATCAGCTTTGAAGCTCAGCTGTATGTTAAAAAAAAACGCGTAAAATTGGAAAAAAAGGTCAAAATTACCCCAACGGCGCTTCTAGTGTTAAATATTTTGAGAAACTGCGCGTTTTCTTGCAAAGTTATGGATCTAATCTATCAGCATGAGCTTGCCGAAGCTAATGGTGACGTCATCTTTATGTGAACTTTATTATATAGATAAAATAATGTAGGTATTATCTTTGATAACAAGGAAGTACAGCGATCTTACCGCAGACCATTTTTTCCTTTATGAAAGTACTGGTTTTCAGTGATAATGAATCATACCAGATTACCAAATTCATACTAGATTTCAGTGATAATGAATCCTACCTTCATCTTTATGTGAACTTTATTAGATAAAATAATGTAGCTATTGTCTTTGATAACAAGGAAGTACAGCGATCTTACCGCAGACAATTTTTTCCTTTATGAAAGTACTGATTTTCAGTGATAATGAATCATACCAGATTGGCCATGGAAGCCCTACATCGTGCATTAGAGCACAGAGTGGATACTGTAATAACTTCCATGTACACTGATGGAACTCGAACTGAAAAATGTTAAGTTCTTTAGCAAGATTTAGTAGTTTCTAGCCAACTTACCTACATTTTACATGTTTCTTGACAGCGCTTTCGAGAGTTTTGAGACAGATTTTCTCAGAAGAACACTATGAAAGTTTTTAGACCTTTTTCGAACTGCTGGATGCAGAAATGTTTGCTAACTTTGAAAGTGGGTCGAAATTTGGCGCCGAGATTCATTAATTGCATTAAATTTATATCTTCTATAATTTCGAAATTTACTGTAATAATATGTTGGTGAAGTTGATCTACATAGGGGCTGGCATTCTGGAAGTTTGCAATTTCAGTATCTGGAGCATCATCGATCTCATGGTGGGTAATTATTAAACTACCTAGTGTTCTTTCATATCGATAACTTGGTATTGTCTGTAATTTGTCTGGAAACAGACGTGGGTGTAGTTTAAAAATTTTATTAATTTTTAATAGGTAATAAACGGGGTGGTTGAAGTGGATAATACGGAAATGTTTATTTTCAAAAGATTTGTTGCTAATATAATTTGTATTTACAAAAGTCTATTATAATGTCTCTTAGTAATCGGAGGCCTTCATATTTAAATTTAAATTGCAATTGCTTAAGTATTTTGTGTTTGAAGGTGTGGTGTAAACTGATAATACTTTTCTTGAAAAAATTCTGTTGAAAAAAAAATTAAGAAATTTTGTAATCAATTTTTCATTGCAATTATTAATGATGTTGAGGAATTGCCTCGCTTTGACTAAAATTTATATTTAACTTTAGGTGCTTTAAATTTATCTCTCTCTATATATAAGAATAAATTAAAAGTTAAAAAAGCAGGTGAAAACCTAATGCAATTTATGCGCTGAACGGAGCAACAAGTGGAGATAATAATGCAAAATAAATTAAAACAAATTTTACATTTACAACACATCCCATATTCATTTTGGAATGTGCACATGCAAAAAGCAAAAACAAAAAACAGAAGCGCACTGGCAAACTGCAAGAAAAAGGGGGTAAAGCACGTCAGTAACAAAAATGAAATATAAAATTTGCATTTTTCTGCATCATCATCAGGGGGTTGATGTAGCGAAGGAAGCAATAAAATAAGCTTGTTTCTGAACCAACAAAGGCACAAATTAAAGTTTAAAACTTAAAATAACCTCAGAAAAAATAAAGTAATCTTTTATCAATCCAACCCCTACAGGCCAAATATCTATTTTTTAAGCTGCGTTTTGAGTGAAAAGCGAACTTGTAATAGTCTGAAATAAGAAATTTAGTTCTTCTATCTAAAGTTTCACAGCAATAACGGCATTTCTATTTCATTTTTACTGACTGCTTTAATAGTGTTTACAATTGGTATTAACTAAAATTTTATTTATTTAAGGTCCTTTGAAATTTAGAGCGACATTTAAAATTTCGTAGATTTTCTTCACATTTCTGTTCCCGAATCGGCTTTTTTATACTTTCGCGTTTTATACGTGCATTATTTAAGCTTTGGCTTCGTTAGGAAGAATAGAAGAGACAACAATTTTTACATAGTTCCTAATCAGGTTTCTGCTTTATAAATCAGATTTTAAACTATATTAATTTCTTTATTTTCAGTTTTTTTAAACCAATTAAAACTAAGGAAGACCGGTTTCTAAGAAGGCGAGTGCCTCAGGGATCAGGTAAAATAGATAAAGTTAAGGAAAAAATTCCACACTACTATATTTAAAGACACCACTTTATTTAAAACTTTTAAGAAAATATCGTCAAATAATATAGAGTGTTTCAAAAAGAATATACGTATTACAAAGTGTACGCTCGGCTATTGGTGGAACGAATACATAGTCTAGTTTATATTACTAGTATTCGCTAGATGTCAGTTGTCTTCTGTTTTGCGTGTAACCGTCACATGTTTAAAATGGCTACTCCGCAGCAGGAATTATTTTGTGTTCTCGAGTTTTCGAAGCGCAATTCTGTGATTACAGTGCAAAGACGTTTCAAGTTGACGTGCCAAAGTGATCCTCCGAATGGGTGGAACATTCGCTGAGGGTATTGACAGTTTGTAAATAGATGATGTGTATGCAAAGGAAAGAGTCTTGGCCGCCCTCGTGTTACCGACGAAAATGTTGCTCGAATTCAAACTGCTTTCTAACGTTAGTCCTTCAAAATCAACTCGTCGTGCCAGTCGGGAGTTACAACTGCCTACAACAACAATTTGGCGCGTTTTGAGACGTCGGTTGGTAATGAAGCCGTACAAGTTACATTCGTTACAGGCTCTGCGTCCTGATGACAAACGCAAACGTGTGGCATTTTGTAACGAGATTATTGATGCTATTGACAATGATAACATTTTCGCGCAACGCATCGTGTTTACTGATGAAGCGACTTTTTATTTTAGTGGTCATGTAAACAAACACAATGTTCGAATTCGGGGCCTACAGAACCCACATGCAGCCATTGAACATGTACGAGATTCGCCCAAAATCAATGTGTTTTGTGCGATATCCCGATCATCTGTTTACGACCCATTCTTCTTTGATGGAAACACTGTTAACGGTCAGCAGTATCTCGTTATGTTACAAAACTGGTTGTTTCCCAGACTGCACGAAGACAACTTCATTTTTCAACAACGTCATCCGCCAAGTGCGTGATTACCTGAATGAAACTCTACCGAACCGCTGGATTGGCCGTCGGCCTCCACGGTCACTGGATTTGATACTCTGTGAATTCTTTCTGTGGTATTTCATTAAAGACAACGTTTACGTCCCACTACTCCCACAGAACCGGCAAGAGGTGAAGAACCGGATCCGTACTGACATAACATCAATGACAACGTCATCCGCCAAGTGCGTGATTACCTGAATGAAACTCTACCGAACCGCTGGATTGGCCGTCGGCCTCCACGGTCACTGGATTTGATACTCTGTGAATTCTTTCTGTGGTATTTCATTAAAGACAACGTTTACGTCCCACTACTCCCACAGAACCGGCAAGAGGTGAAGAACCGGATCCGTACTGACATAACATCAATGACAACGGACATGCTTGCCCGAGTATGGGAGGAATTTGAGTATCGATGTGATATTGTTCGTGTCACTGATGGAGGATATATTAAACACCTGTAACATCTGTAATCTAAACTTGAGAGTTTCGTACAAATGTGTGTAAAGTTTCATATTCTTATTTCATACAGTTTAAAATAAATATATGCATTCGAAATACGTATATTCTTTTTGAAACACGATGTATTATCGCAAATAGGAAAAATGAGGGGAAATGAGGGGAAAAGAAAGAATTGTTTCTTATAAATATAATAAATATATTGTGCTTGTTGTGCTTTATGAATAAAATATGTATGTATCCCGAAACGGGTATGAAGGATTAATACAATTTTCAAAACTTTCAATAAAGCAGCGTTTTAAAAATTATTTCTTAACTAAATATTTTATGAATGTGATAAGAGCTATTCTGTCACGATTCTTTTAAGTAGTCTGAAATATTTCTAATAATTCACAGATAAGTATATGTTACTACGCTATTTTTTCATAATTTCAAAGGGTTTTAAATATTTCCGTAAACAAAGAAGAATGTTGTTTTCCATTTGGAGATACAGAAACGAAAATCTGGTTCATAAATTTAGATCATTTAAAAATTTTTCATTATGGATATGCGTAATTATTTAACTCTTTCACAGCGAAGTCCCCAGAAACGTCTATGCATTAAGACATCGGCGGGTCTCCAGAATGTCTGCGTCGATTTTCTACCTGGTGCTTTCTACCTAACACTTTAGTGCATTGCTCATTGGTTTACGTAGTTGTTAAATGACATGCCAATTATTCTTTATAAGCGACTAAAAGTAGCTCTCTTATTTGAATGCGCGTTCCCTCTCCTTTGTTTACCGTCAATGAGCTTTGTTTAGCTCCTTTGTTTAGCGTTTAGCCTTTGATGCTCACAATTGCAGTCCTGCCCTAAAGGAAAAGTGTGCGCACTGAGTGAAACCGCACAAAGATCCCAAGAGAGATGTAATCGCTTCACTTAAGTAGTTTATTGTTAACATTATAGCATTCTGCTTGGCATGGGGAGATTAATTTTGATGTTATTTGGTTAAAAAAATGCAAATACTCTCACATTAGAAGACATTCAGTAATTGAAACATTAATTTCATTAATCAGAAGAGATCATCTACAGAAATTAAGCATATAATAATACTCAAGATGTAAATTTCATGTAATTACA